GTCCATGAAGACGGCCGGGGCATTACTGAGTCCGAAGGGCATGACAACGAACTCATAGTGGCCATAGCGAGTACGGAAGGCAGTCTTGGAAATATCAGACTCTCGGATCTCCAGCTGATGATAGCCAGAACGCAAATCAATCTTCGAGAAAACACTGGCTCCTCTCAGCTGGTCGAAAAGGTCCTCGATACGGGGAAGGGGATACTTGTTCTTGACTGTAAGGGCGTTCAATTCCCGGTAGTCAATGCACATGCGCATAGATCCGTCTTTCTTCTTCACGAATAGAACGGGCGCACCCCACGGCGAAACACTCGGACGAATGAAACCGAGCTTGAGCAACTCCTGAATTTGGGCCTTGAGCTCTTGAAGCTCCTTCGGCGCCATACGGTAAGGGGCCTTAGAAACGGGGCCGGCTCCTGGAATTAGGTCAATGGTGAACTCCACCTGGCGGTCGGGCGGTCCTCCGGGCAATTCATCAGGAAAGACGTCTAGGTACTCGCAGACAATGGATACTCGCTCGGGCACCCGCTCATCAACGACGTCGGATACCATAGAAACAAGGTAGCCTAGACAACTACCCTTGGAAAGGCTCTTCCTAGCTTGCATAGAAGAGATGACCCGAGGCACAGTCCTCGAACTCACCCCAAAGAATACAACCGGCTGATCGGAAATGGGATGGAGGGTGACTTCGCGCTCCTGGCACCGGATGTCGGCTCGGTAACGGGTGAGCCAGTCCATGCCCAAGATCACGTCAAAGTCTCGCATATCAATAACATACACATCGGCCTCCAGAACTCGACCACCAATGCAGATAGGAAGATTGCGAACTATTGAATCAGAAACAATAATCTTACCCGAGGCTAAGCTAACCTCGAGAGGATCACAAGCATGCACGGTGCTAACAGATAAGGCCTCCAAACAACGAGAGGAGATAAACGAATGGGTAGCACCGGTATCACATAAAGCAAAAACAGGCACATGGGATATTGAAAGCATTCCGGACATGGTACCTGCATTACGAGCGGCCTCATCATGGGTG